GGACCACTTTGCATTTAGAGTGACCTACGATGACGGAGGAAAGAATGTTGGGGGTTGGATCCTAGAGCCAGTTTGCAACACGTTTTGTTTATGCTAACAGCAACACGACCAACATGTCAGGCTAACAATCAACATATACCGAACCGAAAACCGTGACCACGAAACCGTTAACCGAACCGTAGATTTTGTGAACCGTTCCACTCCTAGTCTGTTACATTACAGACTGGTTGTCAGGGGATCAACAGCCAGACCTCTTAGATCTACTGGATCAGATCTACTTTGCAGAACAAGAACCAAAACGTGGATTAACAGCTTTTAGTCCTTCCCTAAACTAGAATAAATTCCCAGAAAGCTGTAAAAACATTGAAACCCCCAGATGCTTTAAATCAAGACTAAGTGGCCTTTGATCTAAACTATTGTTACGTTTTCTGTCCCACGTTTTTAATCAATCATTTGATCTTTTCTAAAAGAATCATTTAAATTTGAATTATTAATTTCTGTTCCCCTTACTGTTTGTGTTTACTTTTTTTACCGCTGCAATTTAATTTTCTTTTCTGAAGTGGAAGAACAACCGTGAGAAACTTGACTTACTGTTTTCAGGACGTCACACTCCTCTCCACAAACTCTCCATCCTGTGGTTAAAACACAGACAGAGGACATGTGGTTAGTAAAAAACACATCATCATCATCTTCATCATATCAACACACACATTCATGCCATCTTTCACTCAATGTCATCTGGTGCAGTTAGCAGGAGCTGGAGGCTGCGGCGGGGCTGACAATGCAGGCACTGTAGGGGAGATTGTTCACCGTCAAGCTAACCGGCTAAGGATGAGCTAACAGCTCAGATATGGGACACATTCAGAGGCTCTGCAATACACTCATGCATGAGCAGACAGGCAATGTTTGGCCAGGACAACAGAAGGCCCTATTCAGCGGTCTGCAGAGGCACTTCTATACGCACACACACACAAAAACCATTATCTTAATCATCATCAACATCCTAGAAGCTCTCATCTGCTTCAAAAACATGTGCAACCCTCACACGCATGCACGCAACGGGAAAACAAACCCGACTGAACATTCCCCGACAGTAGCCTTCCATATGTTTGGTTTAGCACAGAGTCCAGATTCAGACTGGAGTCTGGAGTGAATTTAAAGGATGAGGGAGGAAGAGGGGGGGGGTTTCTGTGCCCGGCTGCAAAACTGAGATACAGAGCTCAAAAAGAGCTGCCAGCTTTTAAAGCTTCTGTTTTAACTTTATTGGTTAAACTTAAATGTTTTAAATCCAACTTTTTTTCTTGTTTTTAATCATAAAAAATAATAATAAGGCCCCATCCACACGAAGTCAAAACGAACACGAAACGCTAATATTTTTCAGAACGTTTGTCGTAAAGACGGAGACGTAAAATAAATGTGAGCGTTCACACGAATGCTTGAAAACCCTGCAAAATGTATGCCAGGCAAAAATAGGCGACGAAATGTTGGGCATGCGCACT